TAAAAAAGGAGGGATTGCCAAAACCGGTTTGGCTCAGTGGATAGAGCGTCGGCCTGCAGACTGAAAGGTCCCAGGTTCAATTCCAGTCAAGGGCATGTACCTTGGTTACGGGCACATCCCCAGTAGGGGGTGTGCAAGAGGCAGTCGATGATTCTCTCTCATCGATGTTTCTACCTCTCTATACCTCTCTCTTTCTTTCTGTAAAATATCAATAAATTTTTTTTAAAAAGGAGGGACTAATTCTCCAATGTTTAAAGCAATTCCCATTTTATTTGCTCCCTCTGTCCTCAGCTCCTGAGCATGTCCATCTTTGTAATTAACAGCTATCCATTCTTTGTAGTCAGAGCAGAACTACATTAGAAGGGAGAACAGGATTAACAGCCGAAATGGATTTAGTATAGTGATAAGGTAGCATCCTTTTTTCTTATATAATTATTTCAGCTCTGACATCCTAAATTAAGCCAGTTTCTTTCTCACTTATAAAAAGTAAAGATTAAGATTTAAAAATGATACATAAATTTATCATTTTAACTAAAAAGTACACCAGGATAAAACTACACATCAGGACAAAACAAAACCCTTAACAGCCAGTGAGGATTTTTAAAACATTTATTTAAAAAAATTAGAATGCACTATATTTACTCACATATATTCCTGTTATAGATATTTTCAGCAAAAATACCTCTTTAAGCATCTTCATCTGCTTTTATCAAACCTCCAAAGTGGATCCTGCTGCTGTTGACAATCACAGCAGCCTGTTGGAGGTAAAGTATGGGGAGAGAAAAGCATGATGTATCCCTCAAAATTAAAAAAAAAACACATTTGAGCGGGGGAAATGTGCATTTATTTGTATAGCATCAATGAAGGCCAAAAGAGTGATATAATTTCCATAGGCACTCTAAAATGAATAACATAAACTCATCATATATGTATTAACTACTAATCAACTTACCAAGTATTTTGTATTACTTAAAACTTTCAAGTTATAGGTTTTTTTGTGGAACAGCTATTAAGTTGATGAATACTTCTTTGAAATGTTAATTACATACATGTAAACATTTGATCTTAGGAAAATACAGTTAAGCATTTTAATATGGTCAAGAAACTCATGAAATCAAGTGTTACTGACTTAACAAAAATTACTCTGACAGTAGGAAGAAAACAAGTGTCTTAACCATATGTGCATAATTTTTTTTTCTCCCCACCCCCCAAAAATCTCTAAATTCAATCAATATCTTTTTATTGGCTCTTGTTTGAATTGTAAGAGAAACAAAGATGTACCTAAGGGGACACAGGCAGACACCCATACATTCAGACATGTAGCCCCAGTAGGGGAGGCAATGGGAGGACTAGGGTTGAAGATGTCTAGGTCTTCAGAGATCATTCTAGATGCTACTTCTGGATGTAGCTGATGAAAATGAGGAGGGATGGGTGGTGGTGGTGGTGAAAAGCCAGTTGGAGAGCCCAGTGTGAACACTGCCTGAAAGGCAGCTGTGAGCATCTCCAGAGAAATCAGTGAGCGATGCATGTAAAAGAGGTGGAGTGCAGGTATGCAGTGAAATGCAAAGGTTAGAAAAATGAAGTCAGATGGAGAGGTTCTTACATATGGTACTGAGAATTTTAATTTTTATTGTGTGTAGAAAGGACCAATTGAAGAGGAAAAAATGGGCTGACATGCCCAGAGCTGTCTGAAGATGACTGCTGCTGTGTGCATTTCTCAGTGAGAGACAGGCCAGCCATATAAAATGCATTATACTTTTCAAACTTTTTTTTTCAAGTTTGTGTTATACTTTAATGCCTGAATAAACATTTACCAATCTTGAAATATGACAAATCAATTGAATCCAGGAAAAAACAAATCCCAATGAATACTTTTAATCTTATCTTTTCCACATGGCATAAATATAATGGCCCCCTTCAAGTATATGCAATTTAAGATTCTAGAGTTCAATCACTTCACCTTATCAAGAAGTAGAAATCAGAGAAGTAAAGGAAACTGATTATAGTTAGACTTTGTCAGAGTAGAATCCCAAATCTGATCAAGGTCTTTCAAACTCACGCTGTCCTACTTCCACATTATCTGGCATTTAATTATAATATATACTTGTTTGGTAATCATTTTTAGAGTCAATATTTAACTGGGAAGAAGAGAATTAAATAATGCCCCCCCCCCAATTTGTTTTTTTAGCCACAGGTCCTGAGGGAATCTATTTTCATTAAAGAAGAAAGATATACATAACTATTTAAATTGTTAATAAATGGTTGTGCTTAAATCTTTGAAAATAATAGAACAGCATTTTTTTTTTTACATTTCTGAATGTTTACTTTTTCTTAGCAAGGTGAAAGAAATTTCAGACTAGTTTTATGATAGATTGTAAAAATAATGAAGAAAAATTTAATTGATTCATGCTGCATGTTCATGCTGCATGTAACTGTAATCAACATTTTTTGAGTACCTAATATCAAAGAAATGCTACTAAAGAGTAGTGATATATATAAAACAAGACATAAAGACATAATCCTATACTAGTCACAATAAAATACACATTTGGAGAAGTTGATAAAGACACCTGGTTCCTTACTAAAAGCAAATTTAGGAACAGTTAACTCTTTATTTGGATATATATGCTAAGTCATTTATAAAGAATAAATAACTACATATCTAAAAGTATTATATATTTTTCAATGAGAAAAAAATATTTGGGAAGAGAAAAAATGTGGAGGTTAAGCAAAAGAAAGTTAGATATTAAGTGTTATCAATTCTGAACTGAAGATAAAACCACATATTGAAGTAATATAAGAATGTGAGATTAAAATGGTTAAGTCTTTTAGTATGGACACAAAATTACTAAACTTTTTATTCCTTTTTATTTATTTTATAGAGAAGCAAGATGATTTCAAGTTGGTAAAAGTAAAGCAAAGTTACAAAATACATGAATGAGTATGATTTCACTGGAAAAGTGTGAGTGTGATGGGCTATATGTGTTGAAGGGCTATATGTGTTGAATATACAGGATTTGGTTAGAGTATGAGGTCTTAATATTCAAACGAAAGCATGGTGACTCCATTCTAAAATTTACACTAAAGGCAACAGAAGCTAACATGAATAAGACAAAAAAATGACATGAAGAAAAATCTGTACAATAGCTGTTACTTGTAATTAGATATGTATTTTTATCCTGGCTCTGCTACTAAGTAACTTACAAGCATAACAACTCTAAGTTTTTGGGTATTAGTTTCTTAACACCTAAAATGAAAGGGTTAAACCAGATGGTTCCAGGGAGTCATTTCAGGTTAAAAAATTCCAGTCATTAATGTTGAGTCCAGGTACTAAAGAAGAATCTTGGTACTTAAGCAGTGTTTTCACCTGAAGTCCCTCAAGAATAAAACTAAATAAATATTTTTACGGTACAGTTGTATATAGTTCTTTTGACCCAGTATAATAAGAAATTAAGTCTTTACTTAATTTTAATTATTATAAAACATAAAATAACCAAAGTTCCCCAGGTGGTTCTAATGCATAATACTTGGGAATATAATTATGTAATATTATTTTAAATGTATTTAACAACTCGATGCATCCAGATTGACAAATGCAGTCGGAAACTACACCACCTAAAGATTTCATGCAAACTGTACAGAAAAATCAGCAAATTAGTACATCACACGAAAATATATTTTAGAGTACATTTCCCCTCTTAAATGGCAGTGATTGTGCATTAGTGCAACCACAGAACGCTTGTAAACCTTTTCAACAGCAACCAGGTCTATGGCAACTGTTTGGTTAACTTCAAGGTGAGGGTTTTCTGAGTTTTCCTATTTTGACAGCTATGACATTTACCCATAACTGTAGCCATCCATCCAGATATGCCCATTGTCTGGTGTTGGGGAGCAAGTGAATAGGGGTGAATCTGAAGAATTCTCTCATCTTTCTAAAATTAGAAAATGGATGTGATTCAGGGAATGGAGGGAGATATAACTATATCATAGGCAGTTTATCACATTTTGGCAGGAAGCTCTATCAAACTGAGTAAGATTCAGGCTAGAGACAGCCTCAGTGTGATTTCTGAGTTCTGGCTCTCTCCTTCTAGAATTCTCAGTGTTAGGGAGGGGGAAACAAGAGAGGATACACGTCAGAACTGGCTGACTTAACGTCAGCCTCGCTTTTAAATTGCCACTAAAGGGCTTATGATAACAAGATGCTTTATATAAAAAGATCTATTCACCTGCACTTTAATCAAGTGAGTTGAATTTTTAATATATTGAAGTTTCTTGAGAGCTAGCAACAAATCCAGGTTGTAAGAGGACAGGGGACAAAGTAAATACTGTTTTCATCAAGCTTCAGTCTCTGGCTATCAGAAGTCATCAACAGGTGCGTGGAGTGCAGACCAGTTAACACAGGTCTAACTAACAACAGGGTCCTGACAGAAAGCAGCTTCTTTCCTTCAAATCTAAACAACCTACCACCTTGATTTTTTTTTTCCATCTTCCTGGCAGAAAAAGGTACATTAATGTCCTTCAGCACTAAGGAAATTCAAAGTATTTATTCACGAATTTTCATTCACTTCTATTTAATGTGCACTTTAACAACAACAGGAATGTGAATTAACAAGTTAAATACATTTCTTCATCACTATGTATGTGTGTATTCTTCCCATCCTTATTGTCTACTCCAGATCTGAGCTGCTGTCTCCCTCTGGCACTTCTCCTGTTATTCTCTTCAGCACAGAATAATGTCTCAAAGGTCAGCTCTCCCAAGGGCTTGCGTCTTCTTTAGAAAGTGCTTTGCTGGGTCCACTGAGTGGCCTGTGTTATCCAAGCAGATTGCTTCTGAACAAAGAGGAGTCAGAGAACTCGGGCTTCCAGAGAAAAACAAAGTGCTGTCCCCTATAAATCACAGTCTCTGCAGCGGAAGGTGTCTTCCAAACGAGGTAGAAATAATAGGGGGGTGTTGCAGATGCCCGTATTTCACTGATACTGAACACTGTCTCTTTAAGGGATTAAAATGGTCTGACTCCACTCATCTCTCTGATTTTTTCATAAGTAAGCCAGAACACCAGTGACCAAGGGGTCTGCAAGATTAACCAAAGAAGTTAGTGCAAATTCAAAGCAATTCTGAATATTCTACATACATGTATAACGTCTTTAAATGACAAAGTCATTTTGAATCTTCCTAGGCTAAAAACAAATATTTTTATTTTGCCCTTGCAAAACACCTTATAATGCACAAAATAATTTCATGTAGCATTATTTCTCACCGAACATTTTAATGTCATATATTTTCTCTGAACAATTTATAGTTGATATCCCTGTTTTACAAATGAGGACACTGAGGCTTAGCAATCAAATGCCTAATAACATGTTGTGGGTCTAGACTACAGGCTTCTGGCTTCCATTTCATAGTTCTTTTTCACTGCATGTAACTGCCTATAGGCTCAGGCTGAGTATGTCTGAATTCCAGGCTGGCTCCTCTACATTTGGTGTATCTGGATCATGACAAGGAGGCACTTAAAGACTTGGAAGTGAAGATGAAAAAATATTCTGAGAGGTGATAAAACCAACACATAGGTATCACAAAATGGGTGTAAAGTTCATGTTAAATAGAGAACTTCCAGCTCAGAAAGACTAACCTGAATGAAGTTATAACTGTGCCAAAAGGAATTACACTTAAGGGAATTAGGGTTATTCAACAATAGTTATAAAATGTTAAAAGACACGGGAAATCACAGAGTGAACTTTGGGAGTAACCATTAGAAAAAGGGTGCCTTGGATTCCATTCCTGTATGGTTTGGTTCATAGGTGATGGGTAATGTTATCAGAGAAAAACAATATCAAACTAGAGATATAAACTTAAGCAATTAGACTATAGAATGTATTTGGTTAGACAGTTTGTAAAGCAATGTATATGTCAATGTGTTTGGAAATATTAATGTATCTTGATAGACTGAGAATTTACTATAGAGTGGATTTAGGAGACCACACCTGGGTCAGTTAAATGTCTGAAGACATACGTAAAATAATGTGAAGCTGTGATGATATCATATTCTTGTGACAATAACAATGAAATGAACCAAGAACTTAACTTTAAATGGAGCAAGGATCAGAGGCCTTAGTAAAGAATGGACTATGCATTTATTTCTAATTGCTCTGGTCATTAGACTTCTCCCTCAAGTTAGTGACATAGCAGCCCAACTATATGCAAAGGAAATGTATGTTAATCAGGGATTGAGCAAAGTGAGCTCACATTGCTTCTATCTGATGGAAGGGATTGGGACTGAGTTCAGCTGGTTGTGATATATATATCAATTTGATATGTATGCCATTTTGTTGTATTGACAGCAAGCTTCAAAACTTCATATGTCAAATTTCCTGAAGGTGTTAAATCACAAATATTTTTATGCTTAAAAATTCAAATTTTGTGCCAAAAAAAGAGCATTTGTGGAAAGTTTTTAATTCATTACTTTATTTTGAAGGAAAGTGCAGTTGAAAGTTATCATATACTTTGGGAAGCTTTTGGTGAACATACTCTATCCCAAGATACTTATGAACACTTGTTTAAATGCTTTAAAAGTGATGATTTTGATGTGAAAGACAAAGAATGTCCAGGTCAACTGAAAATGTTTGAAGACCAACAATTACAAGAATTACTGGATGAAGATGTGTGTCAAACTCAAAAACAACTTGCAGAAAGATTAAACGTTGCTCAGCAAACAATTTCTGATCATTTATAAGCAACGAGAAAGATTTCAAAGGCAGGAAAATGGGTGCCACATCAACTGAACAAAAGATAAATGGAGAACTGAAAAGTCATCAGTAAAATGTTGCTTCATTGGCACAAAAGAAAGTCTTTTTTACATCGAATTGTGACTGGCAATGGAAAATGGATTTATTTTGAGAATCCCAAATGCACAAAATCATGGGTTGATCCAGGTCAACCATCAACGTTGATTGCAAGGCCAAATCACTTTGAAAAGAAGACAATGCTCTGTGTTTGGTGGGATCAAGAATGTGTGGTGTATTATGAGCTTTTAAAACCAGGTGAAACTATTAATACTGATTGCTACCAACAACAAATACTAATCAATTTGAATCACACTTTGTTCGTGAAATGACCAGAATATGCCATAAGACATGGCAAAGTAATTTTGCTTCATGACAACACACCACCACACATTTCAAAACCAGATAAAGACACATTAAAAGATCTTGCCTGGGAAGTATTAACCCACCCGCTGTATTCACCAGACCTTGCTCCTTCAGATTACCACTTGTTCTGACTGATGGCACACACACTTTCTGAGCAGCACTTCAACATACGAAGAAGTGGAAAATTGGGTCTCTGAATGGTTTGCCTCAAATCAAAAGTTCTATTGTGACAGTATCCATAAATTACCTGAACAATGGTGGAAATGTGTAACTAACTATGGACATTACTTTGAATAAAGCACTTTGGATGTTTCTCTTGAAATTATCATGTTTTCTTTGGTTACAGAATCTGCCATTATTAACCTGTACACCTATTAAGTAAACTACAGAATTTGGCCAACAAGGTCCTTCTCAGTAGAGTCCTTAAGTACTTCTCTAGAAGTCTCTCCTACCATGGTCCTGTGAGGCCTGCTCCACAGCCACAATGAATTTTCTGCAATTCTCTGAACACCAGGCCCACATGTGATTGATGCCCATACCCATTCTTTGATCACCATGCCCATTTGTCAAGAGTAACACATGTTACTCTTGACAAATGCCTACCAATCTTTCAAAGCTTAGATCAGATATCACCGCTGTGAAGGCTTTTATGGTATCCTAAATAGTTAAAGGAATTTTTACTCCACTATCCATGTTCCCACAGTGTTTTGGTTGTACCACTGGCAAAGCACTAATATAACGTCCTTAATAAGACTATGTCCTCTAGAGCCAGGCTGACTGGCTTTGATGCCCCGACTCCACTGGTTAACCACCTGCACTGTCCAAGGTATCCAAACTCTGTTTTTGTTTCCCCCTCTATGAAAGAGAGAGATTATAGTAACCTGCTAAACAGATTGTTGAGAGAATTTCGTGAGTTAAGCCATAAAAAATGATTAGCACAGTACTGACTGTATACCAAACGATTTTGGTAATACTAGCTTTATTTCTGCATTTTTAAATATATATCAATGGGTAATGCAACATGTGCCATCAAACTAACAAATTCTATTTGAAATACTAGCATTTCCATAGGAATGATCTCTAGTATTAAATTAGTACATCTGTCCAAAACAACAATATTTTGCCTAAATAGATTACTAAAGGCTTCACAATGCAAAAGAATCTACCCACTGGCTTTATAACAACAGAGTATCAACCTATTAATTCCTGGATGTAACTGAGTTATTTTACTTTAATCTATCAAAGAAGGTAATAGGACTCTGATGAGAAGTCAAAGAAAACAAAAAGAAAGAACTGTGTTTGGGGGGCAGGGCCATGCTAGAAAAGAAAATAGATCAAAAGTAATGTAAGTACAAAGAAAACAAAAACAACAGAAGGAAAGACCAAACTTTACCATTCGCAGCCAAGATGGCAGAAAACCTTTATACAGACTCATGAACCCTTCACCTTGAACAGCCTGCACCAAGCAGTCAGTGGACGACTTATACAAAAGTCCCCTGAAAAGAAAACAAGACAATTCTGTTAGATACCTTGTGTGTAAATAAATAAATATAAACTAAAGATAAACTAAGGAAACTTGCTAAAAGTAAAATATTTCCTGCTTGTTTACAACAAATACTATTTGTGTTTCTGTATACAGTAAGTCCTCACTTAATGTTGGTAGGTTCTGCAATTTCAAGCAAAATGGTGTATTCACAAAACCAATTCACCACAACCTAATTAATAGAAACAAGAGTTAAATTCCTACGGCAGCTCATCAACATTATAAGGAAACACCATTGAATGAAATGACATTATTTGAAGACCTGCTGTATATAGATCACCTTTTTGAGTTTAAAGATATTTTTAAGGTTGACTCTTCTGATTCATCCCACCCTTGGTTTTATATTTAGAATTCACTCTACCTGGTCTCTTCCAGAGAGAAAATACTGTTTTATGTCAGATCAAATTCTCCATGTTACCTGTAAGTCATAAGCTTCTGAAGAAAGTACTCTGTAAATTCTCAGCAGAGTATGTTTTCAAAACCTCCTTGAAAACAATAAAGTCACAATAAATATCTTTTGTCTGAATATGATTGTTAAATTAGCTCATTTCCCCAAAGGCACAGTACTTTTTCATCAGACAAAGAGCGAGTAATTGCATAAAAACAACTTCCTGGTTGAACACACAAACACATAAATACATTTCTATTAAGAATAAACAGGGAAGTATCTTTAAAGATCAATGTTATTAGAGACATTCAGACACATGGACACTGAAGATTTTCTACCTACCTTCCTTGCTTATCTCGTGGTTGATTCATTATTCGGCTTTTGATGACATCAGCTGGTGTTCCCAGAATAGAAGCTACCAGTCCAGAACAGAAGCTATAAATACAAATACATGAAATTGTATGATAATATGTTTCAGTTTATAAATTTTAATAAAAGGGAATTTAACATTTAGAAAGAATAGAATACTAAATAAATTACTATAATATCTTTCATAACAATGCTCTTTTTGCTTAAAATAAATGCTAAATTCATTAAAGAAGTAGAAAAAAAGAAAAAACAAAAGAATGTTTTGGACAGCCTGAATCAAGCAGTCAGTAGATAACTTATACAAAACTCCACTAAAAAGAAAAACAAGACAATTATACACTGAAAACCTTCTGGGGATGGGCAGAACAAGACGATGCGATCCTGCCCTTGAGGCACTTACACTCCACAGGAAAAATGAGTAATGTCAGGTGCTGATAAGTACCATGAAAAATAAAACAGGGTAATGTGATAGGGAGTCACAGAGAGAAGAAAGTGTCTATGCAAAGACCTGGAGGAAGAGCACTGCAAGCAGAAGGAAGAACACAGTAAAAGCCCCGAGTTAGGAATACTCTTGGTGTGTCAGAGGCGGAAAGTAACTACATGGCTGTAGCATCCTGAAGAGGGTCCATCCAGATGAAAGACTAAAGGAGACAGAGTGCAGCCCATGAAGGCCATTGAAGGAGTTTGATTTTACTCCCAGTGTTCTCTGAGCATTATGCTCTAATGCTATAATTAAGTGTAGTTCTCTGTACTTACCACACTATCCAATACCTCCATGCCTTTAATTCTTTCATTTGGAATGCCCCGCTCCCCACATAATTGGAAAATTCCCAGTTTTTTCTTCAATCTATGCTCAGGCATAAGGTTGAGAAATTTCTGCTTATTCCTCTCTCTACCCAACAAGGTTAAACCTTTAACCTTTTTGTTAAAGGTTTCTTGTCAATTACTAAAAAGAGACAAAATGGATGTCAGCTGCATAGTAAATCAAGATTATGTAAATATGTGACTGGAAAGTAAAGAAACCACTATAAGTACATGATGTGTACAGACATGAGAGAGACAATACAGGAACATAATCAAAATTTCATGAACAGACAACTCATTAACTACTTGAAGTTTTCTAAGAGAAAGGCACCTGATGAGAAGAGGGGTGGCCAACCTGATCACAGAAAACAGAGGCCCAGGACCCAGACGTTGGCAGCTGAGTCCACAGTCTGGGATCATGGAAGCCTAGAGAGGAGCTTGTTTGGCTAATGGAAAGCTGGAAAGGAACATGGTGTAAAATATTAAACAGAGACCGAAGGATGCGACTGCTGAGGGCCTCATCCTCTTATCAAATTGTTTTGATGCCACAGTATGATCTGGCTGACATCTTTAAAAAATAAATATTAAAAGAGGGCAAATAATGTATTAAAAAGGCCTCAACTATGATATGATACCTAGAGTCAAAGTAAGAGGATAATAACAGGAGATATATTTCATCAAGTTACTCATAATGGGCATGGATACTTTGCTATTGACTTTTATCACTCCTTACTAGTAATAGCCCAAAATGTGGCCCAGGACACAGTGAAAGTGAAAATAGACAGAGGTGACTGGGCGAGTCTTCTCTAGAAGACCAATGGTTCTCTGCTAAACTAGGTTAAATATCTCATCGGCACTTTGTCAGAATCAGCGACACTTGTCAGGATCAACTAAAAAACCGTGTTCACATATAATCTTCACACAATAGAGACTAATCTTCTCAGTTTTACCTAATAGCCTCATGATTTCACAAAAGCAAAAAAGGGGATTATCCTGGTCTTTCTGTTCTATATAATTTCCTGACCATTAATCCTAGTACTATCCCATGTTTTCTTTGCTTCTCCTATTAACATACCTTGTCACCTGCCTTCCCACCTCACCAAATCCAAATCCTGGCCACAGGTTTCTACTGCTCCTGCCCTACTCCAGGACTTCATTTTACTTACACCATTTAAAAAAACTATGCTAAAATACATATAACATACAATTTGTCATTTTCACCATTTTAAGTGTGTAGTTCAGAGCTTACACAATTTTTATTATTCTTCATATTGAACTCCTTTCTCCAGATGTTGGCAACTTGGGTAAAGCTCTCTGATTGTAGAGCTATATAGTCCCCTTCACGCCTCCATGAGCATTCATTTTAACTTTCAGATCACACAGCACTATTTACCTTCTTAGATTTGCGTTCACAGTAAGCAACTTTGAGCTGCCTCACATACCATACAGACTCATGCAATGCACTTAAAAACCTGATCCATTGGGTGAAGCTCAAAAATGAGCCAAATACTAAAACCTTAGAGAATAAAGCTATTTCAGATTAGGGCTGGAATATATACAGCTGGAAATTTCAAGTCTTTCCAAAAAGATATACCTGGAAGGTGGAGTAGTGTACATTAAACAGATTTACTCCTGCTGGGAAATCCATGAACCTTAGGTGAAAAGTGTGGGATTTCAGACTATTTGGTTAGAAAGACAAGGTAAAAGAAACAGAGATGATATCACTGTGGGACTTTTGGAAAGACCTGACTTATCTGCTCCCATAGTACAGCATACACTGGTCCAGACAAGAATCTGGAAAAGTAATTCTCACGATGACTTGACTGGGTAGCAACTGGTGAAGAAGGTCTCATAGACAGCATGCACAAAGATAGTGAAGAAAAGAAAAGTACGGTGACTACAGACACAACACATACGTTTATGGGGATGGAGGTAAAAGTTGAAGGAGCCCTAAAATCCTTAGTGCTCTGTGAAGAGGCCAGAGAATGTATGGTGTAGACTGTGAACACACCTGGGTAAGAGTTTGGAATGGGAAAGAACAGTGAGCAAAGATATATAAAAAGATTGCCCTAGCAACACTAAAGACAACACTGATTTTAAAGGAAGGAGAATGAAGAAAAACTACCATAGAAATATTTAGTTAAAGTGAACCTGAATTAGGAATCATTTGTATCTATACCTATATATCTCCAAATATCATTGGTTTGGCACTATTAATATACTATTTTGGGGGTTGTCCAAATACCAGAAAGGGTGCTAGAATTTGGAAACAAGATCAGGAGCGAAATAAAACCACTCTAATGTTAAGGATATTAGACATCTTCAAAATAACTCATTCTAATGGATATTTGAATTTGTTGCAAAGAGGTTAAAGTACATATTACTCCTTCCTGGAATGCCCTTCTTCCTGTCTGTCTATCAAAGCACAGCCCTTCAAGACACATATCTAATTCTATCCCCTTCAAGTGGTTATTTCTTCTCCCTCCTCCAAACTCTACAGTAACTAGTCATTTACTGTACAATGTTTGTAAGCTTGTCTGGTTTTCTGTCTTAGTAAACATCCTGGGAAGGAATTGGGTTTATGTTCTGTACTGACTACAAAGGCCCTGTACAATGCCTTTAACATAGAAAATGCTCAAACACATCTGCTCAATGATCATTAGAATCTGACCCTGGCAGGGCCCCAAGGTGCAAATGTTTGGGAAAGTTTAATTTACAACATTCTACAACTTCATCTCTATCTTCTCCATTTTAACTGCAACAAACTAAAACAACCACTTACCTAGATAAACTGTGAGTCATGATATTGTCCTCAAGTGTTGTATTTAGTACCAAGTAGTGTTTCACTGTATCATATGTGGTTAAATCTGGCAATAGAAAGAAAAGGAAGATAACTCATTTATTCAACAATGAGTGTCTTTTGAATCTTAGAAAGGTATGGAGTAGAGAGGAGACCTTAGAAATAATTTGGTCTTTTATCTTTACTAGAGGCCTGATGCATGAAATTCATGCAAGAGTAGGCCTTCCTTTCCCCGGCTGCTGGAACCCAGGACCCAGGAACCCAGGACCCAGGCTTCCCTCTGGAACCTGGAACCCGGGCTTCCCTCACAGCCCTAGTTTCATCAGGAAGGTTGTCTGGAAGGACTTCTGGGCTAATTAGCATATTACGCTTTTATTATTATAGAGGCCCAGTGCAAGAAACTTCATGCACTCGGGGCGGGAGGGGGGGAGGGGGAGGATGCGGTCTCTCAGCCCAGCTTGCACACTCTCACAATCCGGGACCCCTCATGTAGGGTCCAGCCCCATCTCAGCATAGCTCTGGTTCCCCAGAGCCTGCAGGCCGGGGGAGGGACCTAGAGTCAGTCCGATGGCAACATGGCTCCATTCCCACATCTCCCTCCCACTACCACATGGCAGGCAGCTGGGTCTGTCATGCCAGCTGGGACCCTAGCCTGGTGTATGGTCGTCCATCAGGAAGTTTCAGTCATAACAGACCCTGGCTCTTTAAATATTAGGATTGTCACAATTTGCTTATTTTTGGGAATCCTTTTCACATGCCATTTTCACCAAAAGTGAAAATGCTCTAGGGAAAATTCTCCATGACAGTGCAACATAAAAGAAGCCTATTATCAATATATGCTATTAAAAATACCATTTTTTATTTTTCCTGAGGTGAGTTCCAAAAATTATTAAGGCTATTATATTTCTCAGAATTCAATGAAGTTTCCATTACCTCCCATATTCACCAGCGCTGCTCTTTGAACATTGGGTACCCAGCCTGCCCAAAGCCCACGTATTCCTCCTTCAGCTAAGATTTTTGCAAATGCATGATGCACACCACGAAATCTAAGGGAAAATAAAAATGAAATATAAAAGCTTCATGCATTCCTTTGTATGGAATGTAATTGGATAAGTTTGCCTATATAGCTGTTATGATTTTTAGTAAAATAACATCTTAATTACTAAGAATTGTTAGAAATTAAAGCAATCCACTTAATCTAATTTCCAGATAAACTTAAAAATCCTTTAGAAAAAAGGCCAACATTTAATTAAACATTTTAATGGAAATCTTTATAAGCTGTATCAACCTCTTCTCAGATTTTTGAACACATTAAAATTGTTTTCTTGATATTTTAAATAATCAGTGTACATATTAATTATAGAAAGGAATAGTAGTTATCATACCTCTGAGTTTATTTTACTATTTTATGGGAGACCTACAAATTTTGTAATTTTACCAAATAACATTGATCCTCACATAATCTTTTTAAAAAAATATCTTTAGGCCAAAAAGTAAGGACAATCTCATTATATGAGGTTTAAAATAGAATACTTTGGCTTTATCAAAATTTACTATTTTATTCTTATTTTGCTTGTTTTTCTATACATATATTTTTTTCAAAAAATGGTACTGAACCATGAACCAAATCTGGAAACCTCTGGTATAAAATAAATATCTAGATTTGATATAGTTAGAAATACCTGGAGTCAAATGCTACCTTTCCTACTTACTAGCTGTGTTGTGTGGCTTTTGCTCAGGACTTACACTTTCTGAGTCGCACTGAAAAGTAAATATGACATTTATTAGGCATGCATAATTACTATGATTCTACATGGGAGGTATGGTCATAAATGGCTAACATAGCTAAAATTTATTCTTCACTTATTAAACACCAGACTTTTTTATACATATATGGTACATTTCATTTTTGAAAACTCTATGAAGTGTGTATCCAATTTACATCTGAGGAAACTGAAGCTTAGAGAGGTTAGGAAACTGACTAAGGTTATAGGGTTAAAATGTGGTAAAAGCTGGTTATCTGATCCCAATATTCATCTTCTTTACAACAATATTCAATGTTTTTATTACTATAGCAAACCAAAAAGTTTCAACATTAAAGACGAGAGAGGGGAAAAATTGAGGCAATCAATTCAGATTATTTCTGGGTTCCAATAGTTAGTTCTCTTCCTATATCCAACGAGGCTACATTACTTCTCCTGCTACCGAGTCATTAGACCTTGTTGCCAGGTGACAAAATAGGCCCTGGGGTTCTGTTGAACTACTTGGTTAAATCAGAGTGGTTTCCCTTTCTCCTCTGTGGTGCAGGCTCTTTCCCAGCCCAACCTCGTTTTCCACTGAGTCAGCTCGGGGAGCAGCAGAGCAGAGCTCCGTGGTCAGCAGTGAACTCCAAAGGAGGCTCCAAACCTCCTTCACCTCTGGCTCAGCCGCAGACCTGCAGTCTCAGAGGATCAGACCCCGCCCCCCCCCCAATCACTCAGCTCAAGGTGTCCGGCATTTTTCCTCTTTCCTGAGAGGGAGCTATCTATCTGCAAGACTTTGCCCCTTTCCTGGGGAAAACTGGCAAGCAGCATTTTTAAAAACTGTTGAACATGAAGCCCTTGGAAGAAAGGCAAACTTCGGTAATACAGTGTAATGGAATAGGAGGCTTTCACATCACAAAGGCGTGGTTCCCACACTTCTTGGTAAAAAGAAGAGGAGCAGATTGGATAGGGAAGCAGGAACAACTTAAAAGGTCAACCTTGCTATTTCCCTTCTTTCAAGGAGAAAGGGAAGCTAAGCTAAGCTTCTGGCACCTATGAGCCAGGCAGTCTCACCGTCAGGCAGACCTTCTTAGATGGCTCCTTGTAAAGACAGAGAAGCACAGACTAGAAATGTTAATTGACTTCAACAACACCAGGCCATGATGGCTAAATCAGGATTCATAGCAGGGCAAATGTTAATGATCAAACTCTTTAAATTGCTGCCTGGGCTGGGAAAGGCAGCACACACAGAATTTGGTGGAGAACATGTGCACCTTTATCCTGCAAAGAAAAGATCCACCTTAGCTCTCCTCATAATGGATACAATTTCCAAATTAAGAGTCAAAACGAATGTCTTTACTGAATGGTGAATTATAAACATGCATATGTCCATTAAGTTAATGTTCAAAATACAATGGAGACAAAGGGGAAAAGAAGGTGTGAATTAATTAGAGAACTTACCGCAGTGGCTTTCCTTCCAGTTTCCTTTTTCCTTCCATTTGCATCTGGACCTTCACTAGGTCTGTTGGGTTGGCCAAAAACTGGCCAATCACACCAGCCAACATCCCTCCAATCACTGATTTCCTGATTATACAAGGAGATACATTTTTAAAGGTGACCATTAATTTCACAAGTTTTGGAGTAAACAGTACCATGCTGGTACAGCCCCTGCATATGACATGTAAGACGAAACGAGGAACAGACCCAAACAAATCAGAGGAAAGTGGATGATTTGTCTGTTTACAGAGGGCAAAGTTAAAGGACCACAGAAAGTTGAAATTCAAATAGTCTGCCCAGGTTACACATTGGTAGAGGAGGAAATTGGGCCCATTTCTGTCTTATTCTAAAGCCTAGACATTCTCAGTAGAAAAAGAAATACAGAATGTGCTCTAAAATAATTTTTAATATTAAAATATTAAATACATAATTTTATATACATATTTACATGTGTATACAAAATGCAGTAAATGGTCAATTATTTGGATTTATACTGTTAACATTTATTATTTTAAGCCTGTAACTTGAGGCGATTTCAATACAATGCATAATTTTATATAAATCTAATGGATAAAACATTAAAAGCTTAGGGGCAATAGCATCTTATTTTCAAAACAGAACTTACCAAAGGGGATAATGCTTATCTTCATTTTTGTGAAACACAACTTCACGGAGATGTTCATATGTGACCATTCGACCTCCAGAGTACACTGTGTAAGAGAAAGCATGAAAGAAGTGGATTCAGCTACATGTTCAATAAAATACGAGGACATCTGACCTGGCCTGGTTGACCTCCCCAGCTAGCTCTTTTCCTCATGGAGCCTATGCCTCTGAGGACGGATGCACACAGACTTCCTGAGGCTCTCCACAGGAGGCATGCCTTTGTCAGTCTCAGGCCTGATCACACGCTGGCTGGTATTTTTTGCATGGATTCTCCCTTCTCTGCTTTCCTAACTCCTCCTATCTTCAAAACTCAACTCAGAGAACTACTTTTCCAGAAACATTCTCTGACCTTTGCTCCCGTGTTCTAGGCTGTCATGGCACCCGCTGTTTCCCCCGTGTTCCCACAGAAACACACAGGCACACACCTAAGTCAGCATCCATAATACTGATTAGAGATGGACTTGATTTTCTTGCTCACCTTTTCATCAGACCATAAGGTTTTCAAGGTAGGTTTTCATTACCTTACATGCCCTAGTACAGAGCTGGGTAAACAGCGGGCATTTTCATTCAATAAACATGTAGACCTTTATTGGATAATTTATTATCCTACAGTCATTTTTCAGTGGTGTCAAATATATGAAATTAAGCTTAACTGTAAAACCATATATGGTGGTCAAAAATACACATGAAAAGAAGTGAAATTCAAAATAACAATGGGAAGCAAAGGAGAAAATACTTTTTAAAAGGATGAAAAATAAACATCATTAAAATCAGTACATACTATTCATATAGAGAATTTTTCTTGGTGTTTCTGGAAGTTTGATGAAATATTTCAAGATATTAAAAAATATATACAAAGTACCAAAACACATTTGTACATTTCTGGATAGTTATTGATGAATGTACTCAAATGTACTTATCTGAAAAACTGAAGCTTTAAAAAGAGTAAGATGGGCCGAAGCCGGTTTGGCTCAGTGGTAGAGCATCGGTCTGCAGACTGAAAGGTCCCAGGTTCGATTCTGGTCAAGGGCATGTACATTGGTTGCGGGCACATCCCGGGTAGGAGGTGTGCAAGAGGCAGCTGGTCGATGTTTCTCTCTTATCGACGTTTCTAAGCTCTCTATCTCTCTCCCTTCCTCTCTGTAAAAAAATCAATAAAATATATATATTTTTTAAAAGAGTACGGTAATATGGAAGTTACTGCTGGGTAGTTCTCTGACCAAGGGTCCCTTTGAGAGTTAGGAAACATGATGAATATAGAGGAGTAAAATGCCACACCTGTCCTACCACCTTTTATTTTTTTCAATCCTCACCTGAGGATATTTTTTCCATTGATAATTTTTTTTATAGAGAGATTAAAAGGGAAAGGGGCAAGGAGGGAGGAGGAAGGGAGGGACGGAGGGAGGGAGGGAGGGCGGGAGGGAGGGAGGGAGGGAGGGAGGGAGGGAGGGAGAGAGAGAGAGAGAGAGAGGGAGAGAGGGAGGGAGAGAGAGAGAAAGAAACACATCAATGTGCTCTCACATTGACTGACTGCCTCCCGCATGTGCCCTGACCAGGGCCAGGGATGGAACCTACAACTGGGGTACATGCCCTTGACCAGGGTGACCCTTCAGTACTCAGGCTGATGCTTCAGCCACTGCTCAGGACCGCCCTACTATCTTTTGAAGCCATGTTTCTGTTCCCCTGTCCACAAACTGAAAACTCAACACCTCTGTCTTTATGAGTGCCACTCATAAAGCAGAGCAGAAAAGTGTTCTCATTGGCTACAGTGTACTTAATGGCTATTTTCCTTTAAGAGTGACCAGAGGCCCACATAGCTAGTTAGGTAGTCTGGGAAACTGAGGCAACCAAAAGCACCTTTTTAACATGTACTCTATTGCCAGAGTTGCATAGTCATTCTTGCTTGCTGTCTTTTCAGAGTAGCCTGGTTTCTAATGTATTGGTGAGATGTGGAATTGTGGTCAAATATATTTAATTTTCAAGAACATAAACATTTTTAATTTTGTGTTTAATGTTTCTAAAATAGACAAATACATAAATTATGGGTTTTTTTTTTCTTAAACTTAAAAAGAATTTTATTGGGAAAATTTTGAAACACACGGAAAAGTAGAGAAAATGATATAACACTCCTCAGTATCTATAACTCAGATTTATAAAGTGCTAACATTTTTGCCCTATTTGCTTCATGTTGTGTGCTTTCTTCTTAATTAATTTAAAATATATTACAGATATTATGACAGTTCATCCCTAAATAATTCTATATGTATTTGTAAAAATTTAGTGCAATAATTCCTTGGTAACAATTGGGAGTTTATTTTCTTCTTCTTAAGAGACTATATATTCATTTATCACATTAGTAGAAAAAAAAACACAAAAAAAAACTAACTGGTTTTTGGATAGAGCCAAAGAGAAAAGCAGAGGAGACAAACACAGAAATCAAAACAAACTTACCAGCCAGAATCAAGATAAATACCTACGTGTCTGTAAATGGCAGGTGTCACTCCTTGCCAAAGCTTTAGGAAGCCTTCTTCCTGGACGATGCCTAGGGCTGTGCGCACCATGCCCCGGTAGGGATCGGGTCCTCTTGCGCTGTCTCCCAGCCGAGCAAGGGCAGCTTCTCCTTGCATTTGGAGTCGGGTTTTTGTGAGGTCGAGGGGAAAGGTTGCTAATACAAATGAAACAAAAATGAGGGGGAACCCACAATAATCAGAGGAACAAACAACAATTCTAAAATCACAGGACTAATACTTTCATCACACGATCAGTGATTCTCATATTTTAGAGAACATCAGAATCGGCTATGGGAATCTGTTGATCCATACGCCCTCCCAAATTTACAAACCACTGTTCCAGAGCACATCCCAATCGCCAGGAGGAAACGTGGCAAGGCTTGGGTTCCTTTTGTTTAGAAATTTCAGTCTAAAATCTATTTTTTTTTGTTCTTAAGTTTTGCTTTCTGATGGTTATAATTTCAGGTATCCATAGTCTGTAATGTACTCTTGACTGCAATTGTGATTTAGATCTAATGTGACTTTTAGACTACTGTACTACTTATCCTAGGTTCTGAATGCCAGATGGAGCTGAATTCTATAATCTCATAGATGATGTTCACAGGCAGATGAATCACTAACTTGTTTGAGACACAGAAGATGCAATAAGGAGCTTAAAATATCATCTTTTATATACGAGGATGGCATGCTCATTGGCCTTGTATTAAAGCACATGTTGTTTTTCCAGCACTGACAATTTTTATGCATGGCCTCCTTACAAGTACCAACTGCCCTTGAAAATTATTTTTCTAATGATTACATTTTGAATTACAGATAGACCTTTTAACCTTGAAACAGAGTGGCACTAACTAGCCCAGAGTAGGAATATCAAGCTCATAACTTTATATACACAATGTCCCGAATAATTGAGATGACCAGATTCATGAACATTGCTAACATTACATAAGTTTTTCAATGACTTCCACTTGATACAAAACCATAGCTATGTCTTTCCAAAAGAAAACAGAGTTGAAGAGGATATTAAATCTTGCTACTAGTCTTTGGAAAAATTTATATCTTGCCAATAGTTTCCTTAAAACAGACATAATTAACATATAGACGATTCAAGCAATACTTCATTGAAATATGAAAAGTCTTAAGACCTAGGAGCCTCTATTTGATCATAGGTTATGACTCTCAAAATTTTTTTGTTTTTCTTGCTAGTTACTTAAATCATGCTCCAGGTTCTGATCCTAAATTGTTTTGCACTCAAAACCATCTCATGTTTTTATTCTCCCAGCCTCTTCACAACTCTCCATGAATTTTTAACAGAGGAAATACAAGCCTTTGGTCAGAGGGGAAACATCAGTTTAAATAAATTTTAAAAACCAACAAAACAAACAAAAGGACAAAACAAAATAAAAAGTCCCACCTTCGAAATATATCTAATCATTCAGCAACCTGCTTTTAAATTAAAAAGAAAAAATTGATCAGTTATATTTCAGTAAAAACAATGAATGAAAGTAATTCTCCATGAGTTTGGGGTGGACAGAGGAAAAAGGACAAGGTTTAAAGGGCAAGAGTGCAGGAGCACAAAGGGCGAGACAACAGATAAAGTGCTGGCTGGGCTGGAAATACAAATTAACTCACTTTAGAACAAGACAAATATTTACAAATGATAACAGATCAGGACGGCTACTTTTTGTTTGTTTTAAATGGGCAACAAAATGAAAGGGTAATCTTAAAATTCACAGGGAAGGCTTCAGAGGGAACGGTAGGCACTACTCACAAAAACCCTTGGAAGAAACACCACCTGCTCATGTGAGGGCATCCTCAGTCTGTTCTAGGTGGCCTTCCATTTTCCCTGACTTGCTTACACAGAGAGGTACCTGCTCATCTTTATGCTCTTCTGATAGGTAACAATACCTTCATTATAATAATACGTGTCTCCCCACCAGCCTGTAAGGTCAGAATTGGGTCTTTTAAACTATATCTCCACAGTCTGCAGTAATTATACTAATAACACGATCATTGAAGGGCCCTGCCTTGGATTTAGTATTTATATACTTTTGACCTTCCAGAATCCTGCAAGGTAAACATAGATGAGTTAAGCTCCAAGTGGCCAACTGGCAGGTGCTGAGTACATGCTGAGTCAATTAAGTGTGACCCGTTAATAGCTTAAGTCCCACAAGAGGTTCCACAATTTGGACCCAAAAGACAATGATGGAGTGAGGCTGTGTAAGAATTAAATCACAGGGACATATGTAATAATTTCAACAGTAAAGGTAAGTTGTTTTTTTTGTTTTTTGTTTTTTGTTTTAAGAAAAAAGAATAGACATCCATGAGATGATTTCAATAAGGATGAAAAGTGGATTTTGTTTTTCAAAAGGTCATCCTCACTAAAGGGGAAATGACTCCTTAAGAGGAATGACAACCCGTGAAGCTCCTAAAAGCACACGTTCGGGTGCAATTGCACACCTCTGAGGGAGACGAAATTAGGAAAGCAAAGACCTCAGCCCCCCTCCCTCCTCCACACAAAGATGGCCTTGCCCGTACCCCGCCACCTCTGCTGGACACGTGGGGAAGGACAGGGCGCAACCTCGCGGACTGCACACACCCGGGAACGAAGCCATCTATCTGCCGGTCCTGCCTCCCCGCCCCCGCTCCCCCGCTGCCACCCCTCTTTCCAGGGCGGCGCCACAACGACCGGCGGGAGAGGCCCAGGAGCGGGCGTCCGGGTACCTAGCTCGGCCACGGTGGCCGCGCAGCCGGACAGAACGAAGTTGCTGGCTCGGGGCCATCTCTGGACGAGCGGCAAAAGCCTCTCCTCATCCTCGGGGACCGACATGCAGCAGCAGGACAGGACGACAAGGCACCCCTTCTGGCCGGCACGGGCGCCACCGCTGGCGTGCCACCCTGCCGGGGCGGCCTCTCCTCAACCGGCCAAGGGCGTGGCGGCGTCCACGACCCTCTCCCGGCTTCGCCCTGCGAACCCGCAACCTTCCTAACAGCCGGGGATGGAGTGGTCCAGAGGACAGAGAACAGATAAACAACGCGGAGCCCCAGAGGCTTCTGGGAAATGTAGTCCTCCGCACTCTGCGCCTCTTGGGCCGCGTTCTCTGATTGGCCGCAATCTCGCGCTCGCTGAGCCCTCTGTATCCATGGCAACAACGCATGTTTATGGGGGTGGGGGGTTCTCCCCCTTCTTTGACACTCGGAACCCGCCCTCCGACCTCGGTCCAGCCTCAGCACCACGGACCGGTTGGCTAAGATCTGAAAGAGAAGTGGGAGGGAGCGATGATGCAAAAGTCATCTAAAAACTGGGGCGGGGAAAGGCGACTACACTTAGAAAAGCGAATAAAGCTGCCAAAGTTGCAGCAAGGAAACATTGCGAGGTCCAGTCCGGTGGATGCTCCCGATTTCCAGAGGGAAGGAACAAGTGTCAAGGCAGGAGGACTTTTCCTTCTCTGATTCTGGAAGGTGCCAGACAAAAACATGGAACTAATTTTCCCGTCAGTAATTATAATCCTAGCATGCGTCGCTCTTCTGTTATTCCTCCGGTGGAAGAACTTGAGCGGTCCCCCGTGCATCGGGGGCTGGATTCCTTGGATTGGAGCTGCATTTGAGTTCGGGAAAGCCCCTCTGGAATTTATAGAGAAAGCAAGAATCAAGGTAAGAGGCCTTAGCAGATGGGGTTACCGGGAAAGGTAATGTTTACTTTTTTTAATTTTTTTTTTATTTCATTGGATCTCAAATTCAATGTTAGAACTCGGGAACATCTCCGCTGCCCTCAATTAAACGATCTAGTCATTTATGAATTCCTCAATGAATAGCTATGTCTTATGCATAGTTTTAAAAAACTAAATGGATTTTTATCAGTTATGAAGTACAGTGCAGCTTGCAACTAACTGCCTTTTGGGAAGCAGACATTATGAGCGCCAATAACTTCATCATAAAAAAATTCTTTGTATACACATTAAGTATTAATAAATGCTGCAGTAATTGGGGAAGACAGGTATAATTTCAGTTTATGAAAACGCATAGTAAATTAGTATCCAAATAGGAGTCAACACCAGTTTGTTGTAAAAAAAAAATTGTTTACAAACTTGGTCTTTATAAATTTTGCTGGTCTTGTATTTTCCACTGGTGCTATTACTTAATGATGATGAAATCCATTTTCACCGGGTACTAAGAAGATTAGTAATGGTTGTTTTTGTACTTTTTCAAATATAGTGAATCTTGCAAAAAGAGTTTATAGAATATTCCAACTTTTTTATTTATTTTAACCAGTGCTTCACTGAATATTCTGGGATGGAGATTATATATATATATATATATATATATATATATATATATATATATATATATATATATATATTAGAGGCCCATACACGAAATTCAGGGGGGCAGGGGGTGTCCCTCAGCTCAGCCTGCACCCTCTTCAATCTTGGGACCCCTCTAGGGATGTCCCACTGCCCATTTAGGGCAGTCGGACATCCCTTTCACAATCCAGAACTGTTGGCTCCCAACTGCTCACCTGTCTGCCTTCCTGATTGCCCCTAACCTCTTCTTCCTATCAGCCTGATCACCCCCTAACCACTCTGCTGCCAGCCTGATCATCCCCTAACCACTGCCTGCTAGCCTGATTGATGTCTAACTACCCCTCTGCCAGCCTGTTTGCCCCCAACTTCCCTCCTCTGCTAGCCTGGTCACCCCTAACTGACCTCCCCTGCTGGCCATCTTGTGTCCACATGGGGGCAGGATCTTTGACCACATGGGGGCAGCTATCTTGATCTTGTGTGTTGGAGTGAAGATCAATCTGCATATTACTCTTTTATTAGATAGGATACAGGCCTGGTGCATGGGTGGGGGCCAGTTGGTTTGCCCTGAAGGATGTCCCAGAACAGAGTAGGAGTTCCCTTGGGGCATCGGGCAGCCTGGGCAAGGGACCTATGGTGTTTGCAGGTCGGCCATGCCCCCCCAGAGAACCAAGTGGAGGCCCTGGTATCTGGGATATAGTTATCTTTTACAATTGAAACTTTGTGCCTGGAGCGAAGCCAAGCCTTCTGCTCACTCCAGGAGGGCAGCTATATCTGTTGGGGTTTATTCACCTTCTATAATTGAAACTTTGTAGCCTGGAATGGAGGCCAGGGCAGGTGGAACGCTTGGCTTCCTCCATGGCTGCAGGCAACCCTAGCCTACTCTCCATAGCTGTCGCCATTTTTCTTGGGATTTATCTTCTATAATTTAAACTTTGTACCCTTGAGTGAAGGCCTGGGCCGGCCAGGGTGTGTGGATTCTTGGCTTCCTCCATTGCCGGGGAAACCCAAGCCTCCCTCGTGCTCTCTGTGGTGGCTGCCATCTTGGTTGGGGTTAATTTGCATACTCACTCTGATTGGCTGGTAGGCATGGCTTGTGGGTGTAATGGAGTGATGATTAATTTGCATATTACTCTTTTATTAGGTAGGGTATATATATAGTGTGTGTGTTGCTTTTTGCACTTAGCTGATTGTTTCCTCAGAATAAATTCCTAAAAATGGAAGTGCCCAAAGAACATAACATTTATATTGCTTATGTTACCATTTTACCCTTGCAAAAGGACTTAATAGTATGTGCATTTTCTTTTCTTTTGAGTGTAGGTAGGAGATTGCCTAGCTCCTCATATCCTGGCCCATAGGAACCATAATTCTTGCTAGTCTAATAGAAGCAAAACAGTATCTTTTAAAAATATATATATTTTATTGATTTTTTTTACAGAGAGGAAGGGAGAGGGATAGAGAATTAGAAATAATGATGAGAGGTAAACATAGATCAGCTGCCTTCTGCATACCCCCCACTGGGGATGTGCCCACAACCAAGGTACATTCCCTTGACTGGAATCCAACCGGGGACCCTTTAGTCCACAGGCTGATGCTCTATCCACTGAGCCAAACCGGTTAGGACCAAAACAGTATCTTTATCTTTTATTTTTTTTAAATATATTTTATTGATTTTTTACAGAGAGGAAAGGAGAGGGATAGAGAGTTAGAAACATCGATGTGAGAGAATCATCGACCAGCTGCCTCTTGCACACCTCCTACTGGGGATGTGCCTGCAACCCAGGTACATGCCCTTGACCGGAATTGAACCCGGGACCTTTCAGTCCACAGGCTGACACTCTATCTACTGAGCCAAACCGGTTTCAGCCATAACAGTATCTTTAAAAGAAATTTTGCTTTATCTCCTTCTGGAGGTCCGGTGCACGTAATTAGTGCACAGGTAGGGTCCCTAGGCCTGGCTGGTGATCAGGGTCGATTGCCAGTCAGGGCCTCTCTTCCTTCATTCTCCACCACCCCCTTTGTGGTCAGTGCATATCATAGTGAGAGATCGAACTTCCAGTCTCCTGGTCGAACTGCCATGGGTACACTCTACATATTAGCCTTTTATATATTTACTAGAGGCCCATTGCACAAAATACATGCATGGGGGAAGGGAGGTATCTCACAGCCCAGCTTGTACCCTTTCCAATCTGGTACCCCTCTAGTGATGTCCAACTGTCCTCTCACAATCCAAGACTGCTGGCTCCCAACTGCTCACCTGCCTGCCTTCCTGATTGCCCCTAACCACTTCTGCCTGCCAGCCTGATCATCCCCTAACCACTCCCATGCCAGCCTGATTGATATCTAACTGCTCCCCTGCCAGCCTGTTTGCCCCAACTTCCCTCCTCTGCTGACCTGGTCACCCCTAACTGCCCTCCCCTGAAGGCTTTATCACCCCCAACTACCCTCCCTTGCAGGCCTGGTAACTCCCAACTGCCCTCTCCTGCTTGCCCTGATTGCCCACAACTGTCCTCCCTTCCAGGATTGGTCCCTCCCAACTGCCCTCTCCTGCTGGCCAGCTTGTGTCCACATAGGGGTAGGATCTTTGACCACATGGGGGCAGCCAGAGGCCTGGTGCACGGATGGGGGCCAGCTGGTTTGCCCTGAAGAATGTTCTGGATCAGGGTGGGGATTCCCTTGGGGTATGGGGCAGCCTGGGTGAGGGGCCTATGGTGGTTTTCAGGCCAGCCATGCCCCTGGCGACAAAACAGAGGCCCTGTTATCTGGAATTTATTTACCTTCTACAATTGAAACTTTGTATCCTGGAGCGGAGCCAAGCCTGCTGCTCACTCCATGGCTGGCAGCCATTTGTATTGGGACTTATGTACCTTCTATAATTGAAACTTTATAGCCTTAGGCAGAGGCCAGTGTCAGCCAGGGTATGCGGAAAGCTTTGCTTCCCCTGTTGCCCGGGGGTAACCCTAGCCTGCTCTCTCCAGCTCCCTGGCTGCTGCCATTTCTGTTTGGATTTGTTTACCTTCTATAATTGAAACTTTGTAGCTTTGAGTGGAGGCCTAGGCTGGCAAGAGCAGGAGGAAAGGATGGCTTCTTCCATTGCCTGGGAAACCCAAGCCTCCCTCCTGCTCTCTGTGGCTGTAGCCATCTTGGTTGGGTTTATTTGCATACTCACTCTGATTGGCTGGTGGGCATGGCTTGTTGGTATAGTGGAATGATGGTTAATTTGCATATTACTCTTTTATTAGGTAGGATTATATATTTACATATATATTGCCTTTGTTAGGAGTATGATTTTGATAATATTTAGGGAATGTTTTTAGAAGCTTGTTTGAAAAGGTCAATCAAGGTCACAAAGATTATTTTATTTTCTTCTAAGAAGTTTTTAGTTTTGCATTTTTCATTTGGGGCTATAATCAACTTTGTTTTAATTTTTGTGTGCGTGGTGTAAGAGGTGAGGTTCATTTCCCCCCTGATCTGGATGTCAAGTTTTTCCAGTATCATTCTTGAAGGAATTTCCTCATGGCATTGCCTTTGTGGCTTTTCATAAATTAGTTGATTGTATGTGTGTAGTTCTATTTCTAGCTTTTCTATCCTATTCCATTGTTCTATCCTATTCCATTGACTCATATGACCACTCCTTTATGAACATCAAATTGTCTTAAATACTGTGTTTTTATAGTAAGTCTTTAAATCAGGTAGTGAAATTTCTATACATATTTTTTAATAATTGCTTTGACATTCAAGATTTAAATTTGAATATAAATTTTAAAATTTGCTTGTCAATTTCTGTTATAAAGACTGCTGGAGTTATGATTGGAAGTTTGGTAAATATGTAGAAAAATTAGGGGAGAAAAGACTTTTTAACAATATTAATTGTTCTGGTCTATGAATGCTGTGTATCTCTCAATTTAGCTACTTAATTTCTTTCAGAAATAACGTAGTTTTTTACAATGAGGGCTTGCCTGTGATTATTAATTATTTTCTTGTGAATTTTATATTTTTGAGGCTATCCTATATAATAAAAGCCTATTATGCTAATTGTATAGTTGACCAATCAGCCATTCAACCAATCAAAGCATAATATGCTAATGATATGCTAAGGCCACTCAACCACCTGCTATGACGTGCACTGACCACCAGGGCAGACAGTGGATCAGTTGACCAGTTCCTATGTCATGTACTGACCACTAGGGGGCAGACGCTTGGACCTGTAGTTTAGCTTGCTGCTGGGATCTGGCCTATTGGGACTGAGTGAGATGGGTTGGACATGCCCTGGAGTACTCCCACAGCCCTTTCCCAGCTGGCCAACCTCCCACATCCCTTCCTGGCCCTGATTGTGCAACAGTCACTTGCCCT